CCTACCCCCTTCTCCACCCCCCACAGGCCTACCCCCTAATCCTTTTCACTCACCTAAAGCTGCGGTCATATGACGCTCCAATCCAGAGTCTCCTCTCTCTTACATTTATAGGAGGCGAGGCCATTTTTTTGGGTGTCCACATCATGGCCTGCAACAAGTGGACACTTCCTTTCGGCTTTCCAGCGGCGGAGTTGTCTCGGGATCCAGAAGAGGATCCTGCAGTGGTAACATGGAGGACAAGGGGACTGTCTGGGACCAGCCGGGCGGACACATCTTCAGCGCTAGATTAGCTTCCCTCCTGACCCCGAAAGCTGCACCAGCAAGGGACCCGGACAGTAACTATCTCTCCTCACAAGGTATGGGAAGAAGCAGAACGGATTAGAGTTGGGTGGGAGGTTTGTGCTGGGGAAAGGGGGGGGCGGGCAACATTTGCATGGAGATGGCCTTTAAAATAAACCAAACGGCTAGCACCATAGGGTGACCCTACATACTTCTGGCACCCCAATGCTCCTAGGACCCTTTAAAGGAGATCTATGAGGTGAATGAAAAATCACTCATTCTCATAGTTCGAGCCGACCTGTGACAATGAGACTGTCACAGGTCGGCTCAGTAGATCAGGAAGTGAGCGAACACATACCGGCGTTCGCTCACCTCTCGATCCTGTCCCTGCAGAGAGCCGTCACAGGGGAAAGACTGGATTTCCCCCCTCCCCTGTCCGATCCTCCAGCGCTGACTGGCAGAACGGACGGGGGAGGGGGCGGGCACAGCTGGCTCTGCCTCTAGATAGGCAGAGCCAGCTGTCACTCACGCAGCTGGGCAGATCCAGACAACAATGTCAGGATCCGTCCCGGCTGCGGCGTCTCAGCATATAGGGAGCTGTAGCTCCGTATATACTGAGCCTAGGGTGACGGGAGGACGCTAGTTTGTGTCCTCCCGTCACCCTAAGGAGAACTATGAGGAAAAGCCCTGACCCCATATAGCTCCTTTAAACACCCCGAGATGCTTCCCCACAGACACAATTGTATGGACCCCTGAGCTGAATGACCTCACACATATTCGACTTTTCCCGCACTGTGAGAAACGTGCGATTATGAAAGGAGTTTCCATCCGTCCACCAATCATACCCAACAAGCTCAATGCAGCACCTTCTCGCCATTTTCTACCTGTGCGTCCTTCCTGGACAGACTTTCAGTGGCTCTTTGCATCTGCTCGGTTAATACTTGAGGATCCTGAAAGAAGAAAAAGAGCAAAAAGAGACAGCGTGAGACCGAGACCGATATCATTCTGTGGCCCAGTCTAAAAAAACAACATATTTTAAAGCTAAACTCCGAATAATCAAATATTGTCCTCATACAAGACTCATGCTTGTTCTTCATTGGTGAGCTTTGTGTATTTCCTGCAGATCTGTGCAGTGATCCAGTGTGAGACTTGGAGCTTCAATAAAGACCGGTCACTGCTGCTCTCTCTACTTGTGCAGGGTGACTGGTCTTGTCTCCGCCCCCTCCTGTAATAAAGACCGGTCACTGCTGCTCTCTCTACTTGTGCAGGGTGACTGGTCTTGTCTCCGCCCCCTCCTGTAATAAAGACCGGTCACTGCTGCTCTCTCTACTTGTGCAGGGTGACTGCTCTTGTCTCCGCCCCCACCTGTAATAAAGATCGCTCGCTGCTGCTCTCTCTCCTTGTGCAGGGTGTGTTTTATATACAATATCACGAAAGATCTGGTACCTGCTGGTGGGTAAATTTCTGGGCGTGGGTGAACCTGGACCCTTTATTCTGGTCCGTTCCTCCCTCCACGGTGAAGGCTTTAAGCATTTCCACGAGGTCCTGTGTGGCCGCCGGGGCCGGCGCGTGATTCTCTGGCAGCTGCTGGTTACACTGGCGAAGCTGGTCCTGTATCCTTTTCTGCAAGCGTTGCCGTTTCCTGCTGCGGTACTCCTGTCATGATAAGGTGTCAAATGCATTATGGGTGGCGTGGAGATAATACAACACCCCCTTCCCCCCCAAACCTCACCGACGACTATAAGAAGTCAGAAGAACAAGTGGTGGCTAAGTGTTGTTCAGGAACCCGAGACTTACCAAGAACCAGTTCAACAACGGGCTTGTTGGTGGACCCAATGGTGGGCAAGATGGGGTTTGCAACTCTGACACCCGGGGAGGCCTTGTGGGCCCCCGGAGTAGTCTAGTAGAGTGTAAAAATGGTAAGAGTGCCACAGATCCAAGAAGTCTTTATTGCACATGACATGAATCAGAGTATCCAACGAGTGCACCGATTTGGGTTGCCAGTCGGGCTCCCCTTTTATCTTACATTTTATTGTCCAGTATTCTCTTCATTTACTGCCAGCATCTAAGCCCTGATGAAGGGGGAGTTTTGAGTAGAGATGCACCGATACCAGTATCTGTGCCGATACCGAGTATTTGGGCGAGTACTCATACTCGCCCAAATGCTCCGATACCTTCACCGATACCGGAAGAAAATTTCCTCTGACCGGCAGTGCCATAGGGGAACATGGAGACGGCTTCCCGGCCAATCAGGAAGCTGGGAGGCGGGTCATTACTCGCCGCCCGGCTTCCTGATGGGCCCGGGAAGCCGGCTCAATTCACGGCCAAAAAACATAGAGCCGGCTTCCCGGGCAATCAGGAAGCCGGGCAGCACGTCATTACATGCTGCCCAGCTTCCTGATTGCCTGGGAAGCCAGCCGAATGCCAGCTGAAGCACCGGTATCTGTACTCGGACCGAAAAATTGGTATCGGTGCATCCCTAGTTTTGAGCCACTGAAGCGCGTTGGGCTTTTTCCTCCGACTTCTTGCCATTAGGCCCCATTCACACTCCGCGATATGCAAATCGCGCGTTTTGCATATCGCGTTCAAGCTTGCATTGGGCAAGCTTGAATCGCGACTAAATCCGCTCCAAAAAGGGTCCTGCTGTAGCGACACACGACCCGCGACAGCAGGACCCTTTGCCCCATTGAAATGCATTGAAGAGCGATATCGCGCGGTAATTTGCGATAATCGCTCAGTGTGAACGGGGCTTCAGAGATGAGCTTGGTCCCAACAAACATGAGCTCCTCCAAACCTGTAAGGAGCTGCTCCTCAAATCGGAAAGAAGCTCCTTCTGTGCTGCCCAATTAGCTGCTGGTGGGGAATTCCCCCGCCTCCGATGTGACATAAGCAAAGGGGTGGGTGTAACAGGTGCACTCGATCACTCACCTGTTCCTCGTTCCAGGACTCCTCCCCCACTCCCTAGTTAAGGCTGAACGTTACACTTGCCTGACGTTCGAGCAAGTGTGAAGACGCCAGGCAAGTTCCTGTATCCCAGCACCGAACCTCTTCCTCTTATTGGGCCGGACAGAGCCCCTCCAAAACCACCAGCACATCCTGCTTTGACTTCCCTCCAGCCCTGCAATTCGGTCTCCACTACCTCCTTCATCCCCAGCTTCAGCAAGGACTATTACAATCTGGACTGCAGTTACTCTAAAGATCCACCGGAGGGCACCAACATTCTCCTTATCATTCCTATCAACTAAAATAGCAGTAAGCATACCACAGACTGTGATTTCCAAATGCTTGCATATTGATAGAACTGTGCATAGGGATAACTTGATTGCTCCCATTGATTGTTGTCATCCTTCACCCCACTAATCTAAAAGGACTGCTCCCTACAATAAAACCTCATCTATTTTTCATGCTAAGTAATTGTTGACTAACTCATTACCATAAGACTGTAAATTCACTGTGGTGTAGGATTGCACCCCCTCCTCATACTTCTGCAGCTGTGATCCTCCACCTAAAATAAGACCTGTGGGGTCTGGTTGTTACAGTGGGATGCAGTGATGTCATTTACCTTATATGGCTACATGCCTATATTTGGTATATGACATTTCCCTTATATGGCTATGTGGCCCTATTAGGTAAATGACGTCAGCACAAGCATCCCGCCCCTTTGTTTACATGCAGCTGAGGGGCAGGGAATGCGAAGTCGATTGGGTAGGAGGCCCATGGCACAGGTTCCAAGGAGCTCAGGTGCGGACCGTCATGTACAATAAAGACTTACAGGGCTTGCATTAGATCTGCGGCCCGCTCATCCTTTCTAAGAGACAGATCTGGCCCTCTCGGGTATGCTACTTGCTGGCAGCCCCCTCCCCACCCCCCCACGTGTGCCTAAACCAGTATCCCATTTGCCCTCACACTTTCCCAGCACAGACTGGGAGCCTACACTTACAAGCAGACATCCTCCCCGGTGAATATGGCATGACCCCGGCCTTTATACATGCAAAGCCTGGGTGGCGGAGATTACCCATCGACAGAAGACTCACCTCAGCAGACAGGCGGGATGCTAGACCTTGGCTCTTCCACTCCGCCTCCCATTCCTGCACGGCGCTAACGTCCGACATGTTCCTCTCCAGCAGAGACGCCACCAGCGAGTAGGAGTGAGGCAGCTGCATGTTGACCAGAGGCAGGTACTTCTCCCAGTACTCTTTCCTTTCTGCACACACACATACAACATGTCTGAGAGGTTAGAGCAAAAAAACAGTCCGCGGCCATTTTAAAAAGGAATCCAGCCAGCAGCATAAAAGAAGAACTGAACTCTGGAAGCTGTTGCCCCCCCCCAAAAAAATGCAGATAGGGTGAAAAAAGGAATAGCCCCCTAGTATTGCCCGTGGTCTCCCTGCAGCTAAACTTTCTGAATTACTGACTGACCATGCCTTGTTCTGTACTGGGTCTCTGCGAAGGCGGCCATCTTGGTAGAGGCAGGGCTTTTCTTTCCCATGTCAGAGCAAGGAGAACAGTGAGCAGAACAGAAGTGACAACACCAAATGTCACTCCAAATCTCCAGAGACTAACAGTCAGAGGCAGCAGAGTCTTAGATGATCTCACACTGCAGATATGCAGCTCTGAGGCTGCTGACCGGGGGTGGGCAACTCCGGCCCTCCAGCTAGTGCGGAACTACAAGTCCCATGAAGCATTGCAAGACTGACAGCAACAGGCATGACTCCCGGAGGCAGAAGCATGTTGGGATTTGTAGTTAAAGCACAGCTGGAGGGCCGGGGTTTCCCACCGCTGCTGTAGACAGAGGAGTGTCTAGGCACCAGGAAGTGCTCGGTTATTTTTCAGGATGAAGACAAAAAGGTCAATTGTTTCAGGGTTCTGCTTAGACACTAAACATTACTAGATGTCTCCTTTAACATTGCAAATCTGCATATTTTGAGTTAAGTTCCACTTCAATTCCACGGCAGGTAGGTGAAGCTGAGAATTCTGGTGCAGAAATCCTGTATTTGAAATGCTGCAAGATACACAAAATATTGCCAAAAGTATTGGGCCCCTCCCCCTCCGAATCATGTGATTCAGGTGTTCCAATCCCCTCCATGGCCCCCGGTGTATAGGATGAGGCACCTCGGCATGCAGACGCTTCTACAGACATTGGTGAGAGAACGGGTCGCTCTCAGGAGCTCGGTGACTACAAGCGTGGTGCCGTGATAGGTTGTCACCTGTGCAATAAGTCCGTCCGTGACATTTCCCGGCTACTAAATATTCCGCCGCGGTCACCTGTTACTGGGATTATAACAAAGTGGAAGCCACTGGGAGCAACAGCAACTCAGCCAGGAAGTGGTCGGCCACGTCACATGACAGAGCGGGGTCAGCGCATGCTGAAGCGCACAGTGCGCAGAAGTCGCCAACTGTCTGCAGAGACAATAGCTACAGACCTCCAAACTCCATGCGGCCTTCAGATTGGCACAACAACAGTGCGTAGAGAGCTTCATGGAATGGGTGAGCAGCTGCATCCAAGCCGCACATCACCAAGTGCAATGCAAAGCGTGGGATGCCGCGGTGTAAAGCGCGCCGTCACTGGACTCTAGAGAAGTGGAGGCGTGCTCTCTGGAGTGACCAATCACGCTTCTCTGTCTGGCAATCCGATGGGCGTGTCTGGGTTTGGCTCTAAGACTGGGATGCCATTAAAGTTCATGTGCGTGTAAATGCGTCCCAATACTTTTGGCAATATAGTTTAATCATTTCAGCACTAATTTTGATTGCACCGGACCGCACTGCAGGTACAATGTGCCTTGCGACCCCGTGCGGGCGATCGCCTTGCGGCCAGAGGCCCGCCGCGCCCCCTCCAGCCCGGCAAAAAAAATGAGCCGGCCGCAATGCGAGGCAGTGCGTTCCGGCCAGAATCGGACCGGAACGCACTGCTTATGGTGTGAACTAACCCTTAAAGGTCGATTCGGATGGACCCACATGGTGTAGAACGGTCTTAAATGTTGTTGACATTCAAAGTCAAAATTTTGCATCACAAGGTTACTGTAAAGCTAAAAGTTATCTTACCGGGAGGGATGGACTTTGCCGAATGGTCCCCGACCAGAGACAGCGGCTGAGCCTGGAAACAATGCAACAAGCACATGCTCTATAGAGAAGGAAAAAAAAAGATCATTATTTATTGCAGGGAATTTATACAGCGACATTCATTATTATTAAACGGAATCTATATAGCGCCAACAGTGTGCGCAGCGCTTTACAATATAAGGAAGACATTACAATCACAGTACAATTCAAGACAAGATGGTAAGGAGGGCCCCGCCCCTGAGTGCTTTCAATCTAAAAAGGGAGGGGCCAGTGATACATGAGGAGGGAGCTGTGTGGGCATGAATGGTTGAGTGGTCAGGTTGAGGTGGGATCGGCTTCCCTGAAGAGATGAGTCTTAAGGGAGATAGTCAGACAGGTTGGTGTAAAGAGTTCCAGAGGATGGGAGTGACTCTCGAGAAGTCCCGGGAGGCACTTTATACAGCACTTTACATACTGTACATTCACATCAGTCCCTGCCCCCAAAGAGCTTGCAATCCAAGGTACCTATCTCGCATACATACATACTGTACATCTGGCCAGAGAGGGGTCACCTTTGAGGCTGGTGGCCAGAGAGGGGTCACCTTTGAGGCTGTTGGCCAGAGAGGGGTCACTTTCATGCACTTGGCCAGAGTGGGATCACTTTCATGCAGTTGCCCAGAGAGGGATCACTTTGATGGCCAGAGAGGGATCACTTTTAATGCAGTTGGCCACAGAGGGATCACTTTGATGGCCACAGAGGGGTCACTTTGATGGCCACAGAGGGGTCACTTTGAAGCAGTTGGCCAGAGAGGGGTCACTTTGAAGCAGTTGGCCAGAGAGGGATCACTTTGATGCAGTTGGCCAGAGAGGGATCACTTTGACGCAGTTGGCCAGAGAGGGATCACTTTGACGCAGTTGGCCAGAGAGGGATCACTTTGACGCAGTTGGCCAAAGAGGGATCACTTTGATGCAGTTGGCCAGAGGGATCATTTTGATGCAGTTGGCCAGAGGGATCATTTTGATGCAGTTGCCCAGAGAGGGATCACTTTGATGCAGTGGGCCAGAGAGGGATCACTTTGATGCAGTTGGCCAGAGAGGTATCACTTTGATGCAGTTGGCCAGAGAGGGATCACTTTTATGCAGTTGGCCAGAGGGATCACTTTGACGCAGTTGGCCAGAGAGGGGTCACTTTGAAGCAGTTGGCCAGAGAGGGATTGATGAAGTTGGCCAGAGAGGGGTCACTTTGAAGCAGTTGGCCAGAGAGGGGTCACGTTGAAGCAGTTGGCCAGAGAGGGGTCACGTTGAAGCAGTTGGCCAGAGAGGGGTCACGTTGAAGCAGTGGGCCACAGAGCGATCACTTTGATGGCCAGAGAGGGATCACTTTGACGCAGTTGGCCAGAGAGGAATGTTCTTATGTAAAAGTTCCCTAGAAGGGTGCATAGCGATGCGCAGAGGGCCCATTTGAAATTTCCAGGTACACACGGGTAAATCATCATTTATTTTTAGCACTGCAACCCCTTGGTGAGCACTGACCTGGGATCTCTGCGCAGTTGCTGTTCGGCACATTGGAGGGACCCAGGGACGAGACAGCTGCTGCTTGATCTTGGATGCAATCTCTCTCTGTAGTACAGCCGATTTACCTACAAAACAGAACAAAAATCCATTTCATCGCTGAGCGACGCCAACCTTTCACAAGTCTAGTTCCGATCCCTCTGCGCTTTGACATCGATTTCTCATGCCGGGATCCAAAAGCACCACACAAAGTTTTTGCAGAGAGAAGAATTAATAAAAACAAAATCAAAACACAATCAAAACAAAAAAGACACTGAAGGGAATTTATCAAAACTGGAGCAGCTGTGCACGTGATGCAGTTGGCCAGAGAGGGGTCACGTTGAAGCAGTTGGCCAGAGAGGGGTCACGTTGAAGCAGTTGGCCAGAGAGGGGTCACGTTGAAGCAGTGGGCCACAGAGCGATCACTTTGATGGCCAGAGAGGGATCACTTTGACGCAGTTGGCCAGAGAGGAATGTTCTTATGTAAAAGTTCCCTAGAAGGGTGCATAGCGATGCGCAGAGGGCCCATTTGAAATTTCCAGGTACACACGGGTAAATCATCATTTATTTTTAGCACTGCAACCCCTTGGTGAGCACTGACCTGGGATCTCTGCGCAGTTGCTGTTCGGCACATTGGAGGGACCCAGGGACGAGACAGCTGCTGCTTGATCTTGGATGCAATCTCTCTCTGTAGTACAGCCGATTTACCTACAAAACAGAACAAAAATCCATTTCATCGCTGAGCGACGCCAACCTTTCACAAGTCTAGTTCCGATCCCTCTGCGCTTTGACATCGATTTCTCATGCCGGGATCCAAAAGCACCACACAAAGTTTTTGCAGAGAGAAGAATTAATAAAAACAAAATCAAAACACAATCAAAACAAAAAAGACACTGAAGGGAATTTATCAAAACTGGAGCAGCTGTGCACGGCAACCAATCAGCTTCTCCCTTTCATTTTCACATCTTAACTGAACAAAGTGAAGAGAGAAGCTGACTGGTTGCCATAGGCAATTGCTCCAGATTTTGTCTGCTCCAGTTTTGATAAATTCCCCCCTATTGTAACAGCAACAAAAACATAAAACACGTCTGTACTTTCCAAACATTTCTATTACGGATGCACCAATACCGATACTAGTATCGGTATCGATACCGAGTATTTGGGCGAGTACTAGCCCAAATGCTCCGATGCCTAGCCCGATACTTCCTGTATCAGGAAGCCGGGCAGCGCCTTATTAACACTGCCCGGTTTCCTGATTGGCCGGGAAGCGGCTCCATGTTCTCTCGTGACTTGTGATGAGGGAGCATGGAGCCGACTTCCCGGCCAATCAGGAAGCCGGCCAGCGTGTAATGACACTCCATGCTCTCTCGTGACTTGTGATATAATGACACGCTGCCCGGCTTCCTGATTGTTCGCCGTGTAATGACGCAGCGCCCAATCTGGCCAATCAGAAAGCAGGGCGTCGCGTCATTAAACCGCGCCCAGCTTCCATGATTGGCCAGCAAGACGGCTCCAGCTGGGTACCGGAGGAAGGCCGTTCCTGGCTGGAGAGGCCCCGGGGGGTGACAGGCTGGACATGCCGAGGTGAGAGGGGACAGACTTTCTTTGTTAATCGGGAAGCCGAGTGGCGGGTCATTACACGCCGCCTGGCTTCCTGAATGGTACTTCCGTTACTCGGCATTTGGTATCGGCGAGTACCGGAAAAAAATTATCTGTACTCGGTATCAAAATACCGGTATCGGTGCATCCCTAATCTCTACGGTCATAAACTAAAAAAAACATTTATATTTGGATTGTGGGTTCGCTGGCAGGAAATCACGCGTTATAATCCACATTTTAGGCCTGAAAATGGCTTAAACTTGAAAGCGCAGGCCCCGTAGAAAAAAATGGCGGCACGATATCGGTGCAACTCTTTATAAACCCCAAAATTTCAGCAAAAATTACACGTAGGCCAATATTAGTGCCTAAAAACACAATATAATACCCAATGTGTTTGTACAACATAAAAGATGAGGTTGCACCAAGTAAATAGATACCCAACATGCCAAGCTTTAAAACTGTGTGCGCCCGTGAAACGGCGCTAAAATACGGTACCCCAAATTATCCACAGGCAACGTTTTAACCCCCTTCACAACCTATGACGGGATAATCCCGTCACGAAGTCTGAGGGGGTTACACAGAAAAGCCGTTTTGTTGAGCCGGCGGCCGGCTTTACAGTAGAAGCGATTCTGGCGGCTCAGCTGTCGCCAGATCGCTTCTATGATCCGGTAACCGGGCGGCCTGCCCCCCGCCGTGTTTCCCGGGCTACGTTGCCCCTCCTACGGGAAGCTGGGGGAGGAGAGCGGCGAACACCCATGTACCGATCCCCTCCCCGTACTATGGAACCTAGAGCGACGCGTATTGCATCACTTCCGGTCCCTGAGCTGTCATTGGTCGGCTCCTGAAGCCCAACAATAAGCTATTGAAGTACAATCTGCACCCCAATAGCTTAGAGTGTAAAAGGTGACACTGGGGGGGGGTCTTTTGGACCCCCAGCATCCCCTTAAAGAGGACCTGTCACCACCAATCTATCACATGGGGGGGGGGGGCTTGGAAGCCCCCCCTATGTGATAGCAATTAAAGTAAAAAAATAAAAATAAAACAGTTTTAAAAATAATATTAAATAAAATAAATGGAAAAATTATAAATTTTTGTAAAATGTGTTTTTAAAGGTCCCCCGTGAGCACGTGCCTCATAACGTAAACTCGCGTTGGGTGCGACTATATACGAAAACGACGATCGCATTACGCAAGTTGGCGCACAGCGCATGGGAGAGCAATTATTCGAGGGGACGCGTCTCTAAACTGATGACCTGTGGCGGCTTTTAAAGTGTCGTCTATGGACTTTTTGGGGTACTGAATTCTGTCGCAGTTTCTTGGACGCACAAAATTTCAACCTAGACATGTCGGGTATCGATTTACTTGTTGTAACCTCATCTTTTATATTTGAGAAAAAAAAAAAAAAGAAGGTTTTATATTGTGTTTGGGGGCACTACATTTAACTTAAAAGGAGAACTATGAGGGGAGTGAAAAATCACTCAGCCTCGTAGTTCGAGCCGACGTGCGACAATGAAACTGTCACAGGTCGGCTCAATAGATCGGGAAGTGACACATACCGTCACTCGCTCACTTCTCGATCCTGTCCCTGCAAAGAGTAGAGACTGTCAGTCACAGCTCCCTGCAGGGATTACCCCCTCCCCGATCCTCCAGCGCTGACTGGAGGAACGGACGGGGGAGGTGGCGGGTACAGCCTCTACATAGGCAGAGCCAGCTGTCACTCACACAGCTGGGCGGATCCAGACAGCATCGTCGGGATCCGCCCCGGCCGCGACGGTCTCAGTATACAGTGAGCTGTAGCTCCCTATATACTGAGCTTTGGGTGACGGGAGGACGCTAGTTTGTGTCCTCCCCTGACCTTGAGGAGAAATATGGGGAAAAACACTTACCCCATAGTTCTCTTTTAAGTGCATTTTTGAGTTTGATAATAAGTTGCGCTAATGTCGCGCAACATAAACATTTGCAACTGCCGCCATTTTATTCTACAGGGTCTCGGCTTTCAGAAAATACATAATGTTTTTTAAACTTTATTCTTTTTTTTACTTCATTGCGATCACAAGCCCCCTATGTGATAGCACATCGGACATCGTGACAGGTGCTCTTTAAGGTGACATTAGGAGTCTATTAGACCCTTAGGGGTTGATTTACTAACCTTATAAACACACCACGAACATGTATACACCTCTGTAGTGTGTTCACTCCCAGCATGATCTATGGGTGGAATCTAAACACCTTTGTAGTGTGTACACACCCAGCTGTACAAAGCCCTGCCCTGAATTGCAAGGTGATGTTGTGTAAATTAGCTCTACATTGTGTTGCTTGCGTTGATGAATGCAGGAATGTAAATGCACGAGCTAACCATTTTTGTCTAAACTGTGAAGCAGCATTATATATGCATCATGTGCATGATTTTTCCATATATGGCATCAGTGGAAATATGCTTTTAGAGACTTTTTGGTTGATAAATATGCTTTGCTGTGTAAAAATCAAACGCACCTGGTGCGTGCGTGTGTTTAGGTTAGTAAATCACCCCCTTAGTGTCACCTTTCCACTGCTATGAAGTTGTTCAAGCGCAGACCTCTCTTCAATAGCTTCTTCCCCGGCTTCTCTAGTTGGGGAATGACAGCTGAGGAAGCGGAAGTGATGCAATCAGCATTGCTTCCGGCTCCATTCAACAGGGAGGAGATCGGCAAATGGATGTTAGCTGGTCTCTCTCCCCACCGACACCGAGATGCTGGCCCTGGGCCTGCAGGAGGGGCAGCGG